CCCCTGGGGGGTGATTTCTCGCTTTCTGTCTCTATGTCTCTCTCTGTCTGTCTGGCGAGCGCAGGCGCCCTACAGTGAAAAATCTCTCTCAAAAAAAAAAAAAAAAAGAAAGAAATTTGCACACTGGGGTAACCCCCATGGCCTGGTGGTTAAGGAAGTAGTATCCCACATGACCAACTGCGAGTTTGAATCCTGGGCCTAGTGACTTAAAAATTATGCCAAGTGCATGTGCATGCCCCAAATCCCAAGAGAACAGAGAAGGGATTGCAGTGTGGCCATCCCTCTGGGGAAGTGATTTCTCACTTTCCTTCTCTCTGTCTCTCTCTCTAGTGAGTATGCATGCCCTATAGCAAAGAGACTAAAACAACAACAGCAACACACACACACGCACGTGCACACACACTAGATGCATGTGGGCATGGGCCCCAGATCTCAAAAGGAGAGAGAGAGGGAGAAGGGATTGTGACATGACCATTCCCCACAGGGACGGGTCTCTTCCCCCTTGCTCGCCTGTGTGTGTGTCTTTCTTTGTCTCTCTCCCACAAGTATATTCAGCCTCTGGCAAAAAAAAAAAAAAAAAGTAAGCTCCATAAGGGAAAAGGCTAGTCTATTTGCTCACTGCTGTGTCTCCGATGCCGAGAAAGGAGCGCTTGTCCTCATAAGTATGGTTGAATGAAAAGGACGTGGGAAGTAATAGGGCTGGCTCCCTGGCCTGGCAGTTAGAGGAGCTGGATTCAGCACGGTCAATCACGTTGTTCAAATGCTGGTCTCAGCGGCTTGAAAACATGCTGGGGGGTGTGTGTGTGTGTGTGTGTGTGTGTGTGTGTGTCCAAACTCCTGAAAGGACAGACAAATGGAAGACGGGGCACTGCGACCTGACCACGCCACTGAGGAGTGCTTTCTTTCTTGTCCTCTCTCACTGTCTCTCTGACTCTCTCTGGTGAGTGCACACACCGTTGGCAAATTAGAAAACAAACAAACGAACAACTTTTGTAACTGAAAGAACTAAAGAAAATAACTTTCCAGGCCAAAGTGGCCCAATAAATGCCCAGCCCAATAAATGAACAGAGTTCTTTCGAAGGACACCACCATGAAGTTTCAGAACACCGAGGACAAAAAAAAAAAAGGAGGGGGGCACTATGGGTCAGCAGGTGGCATGGAGGTTAAGGCAGGTGGGTCCCACATGGCTGACTGAGCAGTTCAAGTCCCTGATCTGGCGGCTCTAAAAACACAGCAGATGGGGCTGGCAGATAGTGTGGTGGTTAAGGGCGCTGAACTCACACATGGCCAACTGCAGTGCGAGTACCAGACCTGGTGACTTGCTTTCTCACTTTCCCTTTCTCTCTTTCTCTGTCTCTGTCTGGTCAAATTAAATAATAATAATAGCAAATACAATTAAAATATATAACTCTTTGGGAAAAAAGAAAGAAAAAAACACCAGGCATGTGTGTGCATGCCCAAAATCCCAAGAGGAGAGTAGAGGAGAAGGGATTGTTCCATGGTCATAACCCCTGTGGTGATTTCTCACTTTCTTTTTATCTCTCTTTGTCTCTCTCTGGCAAATGCATGCACCCTATAGCAAACTTAAAAAAAAAAAAAAGGCACTACAACAATCCAATGAAAAAAAAACACATTCAAAGGCTTAGGGATCTTCGTACTTCCCAACAGTAACACTGAAAGCTAAAATAAAAGATAACAAAGCAAAGCTTTCCAAATTTGAAGGAAAATTATTTCTGTTCTAGAATTACATATACCTAGCCAAACTATCAAATGTGAAAGGAAAGACATTTTCAGACATTCAGGATCTCCAAAAATGTTAGCAGCCATGTACCCTTTTCCAGGAATCTATGGAGGATAACCTTCACTAAAATAAAATAGCTGAAAACACACACACAAAAAGAGGAAGCTATGGGGAAGCAAGAAACACCAGCTTCGTCATTGGAAAGAGGCCAGGGGAATCCCTAGGACTGTGAAGGGAGAGCCCAGGATGGCAGCAGAGCTCAGGATGGACTCTAGACAGGAATAGGTGTGAAGGATCTCCAGGATGATGAAACGGAACCAACACATCCGTCTTCAGAAGGTGCTCAGATCATGCAGGAAGACTTTGGGGTTGAATTAAAGACAAGAGCTTAGGGGCCAGATGGTGGCACAGTGGTGAAACAAAACATTCTGGGAGGCAACAATCTCACGTGGGGACGTTCCTGGTTCAAGCCAGGAAACTTCTGAGTACCCCGGGCACACATATGGCCACGACGCAGGCTAGCTGAAGCTGGGGATGGATCCTGGGGTCAAGACCTGGTTGAGGTTGCTCTCTCTTTCGCCTCATGGAAGAAATAAATAAATAAACTGTTTCAAAGAAGGCAAGAGTAGGACCAGCAGTTAGCATAATGGCTATGTCACTAGACTCCCACGTAGTTGACTGTGGTTCGAGTCCTGGGCCCAGTGGCTTAAATTCACGCCAGGTGCATGTGGGTGCATGCCCAAATCCCGAGAGGAGAATGGAGGAGAAGGGATTGTGATATGGCCATACCCCCGGGTAGGGGGGTGATTTCTTGCTTTCTATCTGTCTGTCTGTCTCTGTCTTTCTGGTGAGCATACGAGCCCTATAGCAAAAATCTCTACAAAAAAAAAAGAAAGCAAGAGTCTAGGGCCAGCAGGTGGCATGGAGGTTAAGGCTCCAGATCCCATATGGCTGACTCCACTGATCAAGTCCAGGACCCAGTGGCTTGAAAAATCATACTGGGCACATGCCCGAAATCCTGACAGGAGAATGGAGAAGGTACTGTGGCATGATCCTCCCTGGGGCAGGGGGGTGTCATTTCTCACTTTCCCTCTGTCTCTGTCTCTGTCGCTCTCTGGTGAGTGCACAAGCCCTACGCCAAAAACTAAAGAAGGAAAAAAAAAAAAAAAAAACAAAAAAACAAGAGTTTAGAAAACAAAACAAAGAAAAAAAAAATCAAGGTAATTACTAGCTCCAGGGAAAATAAAAAATTATGCAAAAAGGGAAAGTAATCACGGCTCACTACCTGGCTCAGCTCAGAATAAGAGTCATAATGTACATGTTGATCTAATCAAAATGATGTTGAAAGGTTGGGGGGTCGGTAAGTGGTATATTGGTAAGCCAGCCCGGGGGACGGGTGCAGGCAGTGGAAAGCCAGGTTTGCAGTGTTTGCTGCTTTTTGTGTTAGGTTCTTCCATCATGGCTGATTTCAAGTTACTGATGTAATATTACTGAGCACGAATTTGGAAAGAGATGTGCAAAAACAGATTTGTTAGTTGCTACAAGCCAACTCCAGAACATCACTGGGTGGGAGTGGGGAAACAGTGAAGTCCTCACGAATGTGAACTCTGTAGTTACTGTCTGAAATGGAAACATCAAGAAGTAGCAATAAAAGAATGATATTTAGAGATCTGGAGAGAAAAGCAAAAAAGAATCAGCTCAGAGTTGAAGGTGGTAGGGA